GAGGATGTTTGCCCACGGAGGGGACACTGTCTCAAAGTGTTGTCTCCATGACCTTCACTCCAACATGAGGTGGCCGGGGCGGGGGGGTTCCACTTGTTGGTTCACCTTCTGGGCAGCAACTCACCTCACACTCGTTGGCCAATCCCTTCGATGGGAAGGCCCTGTTCAGAGAGGTTAACTGAGGGTGAAGAACTCAGAGACTGCTGACCTACATGTTGAGGTGTGTGTGTTGTGTTCCCCTCAGCCGAATTTCATAACCGTACGTCCCATCTACTCCGCTGGGGTAATTAGAGCTGATTATAGAGTCAGACGGCTAAACAAGTTGTTTGTGTGTTGCTTGGCCTCAGTAATAGAACGGATTCAGTCACTCTTACCAGTTGTCCCTTGCCATGGCGGAGCAGTTTCATAAAGAGCCTTGGGGGAAAGAAAGATAGAAAAGATCTATTAGAATCAGAAGCATCTTATCCTGGGCTATTTGAGATGGCTTCCAGCCAATCTCTTTGTGGCTCAGTATCTTTTCTGAGAATGGCAGTCTGGTTCAAATACTGTTATGTTTGAAGAATCACACAATTTCATAGCTGGAAGGTATCTAGCCTCTCACCAACTCTCTCAAGACTTACAGGATTTTAAAGTAATTGGTCAACTGGGTGATTGCTTGGCTCCAGGAAGAAAGGTCACTGAAGTACTGACACACACACACACACACACACACACACACAAGCACCTTACAACACACATTTGAAAGGTCACAATTGTCCTCAGAGGACAAGGAATATAGGTAATTAAATGGTGTACAGTAGACCACTCAAAACAAGGGTAGATGCCCTTTACAAAAAGGTTTAACCATCACTAGAGGAAATGTTTCCTTTTAAGTTGATATACAGACAGCTTTGTCAGCCTCACTGTAAGAAGAAAACTGCTGGGGCGCCTGGGTGGCTCAGTGGGTTAAAGCTTCTGCCTTCAGCTTGGGTCATGGTCCCGGGGTTGTGGGATCAAGCCCCGCATCGGGCTCTCTGCTCAGCGGGGAACCTGCTTCCTCCTCTCTCTCTGCCTGCCTTTCTGCCTATTTGTGATTTCTATCTGTCAAATAAATAAATAAATAAAAAGAAGAAAACTAACGGAATGCTTTATAATAATTTATATACATCTTTACGTTCAGCCCAAAGGAAGGGAATTGAAAGCTGGTTTGCTTATCCACTTTATCAAGCAAAGGGACAGTCAGAAAACAGAGTCAAATTGCCTGACAGAGTGCTTTGCATTTTCACTCCTGGGAGTGAGCAATTAGATCCTGACAAATGACTTCTTAAAGAAAAACAAATATAAAAGAGATCAAGGGCGGACTTCAACCTTGAGCTAGCCAATTTCTAAATAATGTCAGGAAGGCTTCCTGCAGAATCAAGCACTCCAGAGAATACCACCAGAAATCGCGCATTTTCCCCATTCCAGAATACATGCAAAACCAATCCAGTCTTCAGTCAGAGGAAGGTTTGCTCCTGGCATGGGTACTCACCGCATCCAGGAAAGCTAGCAGCCAGGCAGGAGAGTTGGCACCGAGCTTCCAGCCACTGTGCCCCACCATCCCGGGTGCCTCCCCTTGCAGGTCCCATGGTCCCCCTTCAGTGCCTGTGATGCCTTTTCTCCATTTTTCAAAGAGAAATCCAAGAGGTCCCAGTGTAAACCAGCCACCGATTGTGAGAAGCCTATCTGAGAACTGTAAAACCGCCCGGGGTTTCAAGGCTTGTGTAAGTCGGTGATTCACTCCACGATGGGTCCATCAAGCACGCCTAAGAGAAATTACAGGTTTCTCCTGTCTGGAGTAAATCCATTAAAATGAGTCACTTGTTTGTGCTTTAATTCCTCATCTTTATCTCAGACGATCACATGAGACCAGGTTGCATCTACGGCACCAATGTAATTAGAACACGGGGGATAAAATGCAAAGTTGGGCCCCTGTGAATGAAGACTTTTAAGGGCGATCACAGTTTGCCTATGTCGGTGTTGAGCTTGGGGAAAAACTGGCTAGGAAATGGATCAGTAAATCATGACCTAATCCCTACCTTCACCAAAGAGATTTTTGTTTTATTTTTTAATAACTGGCCCAAGAGTTCTTAGTGAGCCGCAGGCCATGAGCATGGGAATTCAGTCATAGAAGGCACAGTCTCCACTTGCTGGAAACTTCATGTGGTCTGATTGCTGACAGGGTAGCCAAGCCTGGATTTCCTCTCTCACCACCAAAGCCCACACATCCCGATTCTACTGTCTCCTATTTCCATAGTTCCTCTGAGCCACAAAACCTAATGCAAACCTCCATTTCAGTATCACCAGGGGAAATGCTGACATGAAGGAGAAATAAGGGAAAGGCAGTTTTGTTACATCTTTACAGTAATGACAACTAAGGAGGCCACGTTTGTGGAACTAGGTCATTTCTCCTGAGGTTGCTCATTAAGTACTGGGTCATTTGGGAATTGAAAAGCCAGTATCATCAAACCCACGGTTGTGTAATCAGAGGTCTTTATTGAACATGTTCTATGAGCAACACACCTGCTCTGCACTTTGGGCATACAAAAGGGAGTAAGAGAGTGAGTAAATCAAGTAAGTAACACAATCCCCAAAGGTTTACAGTCTTATCTGAGAAAGAAAACATATGCACACCAAAAGACAGAAAGCAAACAAACAATAAAACACAATAAATACTAAATATAAAGTGAGTGGCACAGATTATAAATATTATAGGAATCAGGTGGGGACCATCAGCACTTCTGGATGGACTCATCAGGGAAGACTTCAGAGAGAGCGCAAAAAAGTGAAGCAGAGCTCAGACACAATGTGCCCTAAATAGAACCACGGAGTCTTTCCCAGGCAGGACAGTCTGTATTACAACATGGGAACACTAGAACAAAGAACTATCCGATGGTTAGCTCAGCAGATTTTGCTGGCTGATCCCCCCCGATGCTGGATGGACTGAATCAAATGCTTAATTTCTTTTATTTAGAACTCAATGAACTAACTTCCATGAGTGTGTCAATCTCTAAACTCACACACAAGGCCATGCCCCTGTGTTTGCAAGTGAATTCACAGATACTTTAACAAAAACAGCTAACATTTCAATGGCCAAATACTCTTCTAGGTATTTTTATCTACACGTAGTCATTTAACCTTTACAACAATCCTATGAGGTAGACTCCATTTTTTCAATATATGGGTGAGAAAATAAAAATCTAAGGAACTTAAATAACTTTCCCAAGAATCATCATGTCTTACGCATCTAACCACGAATCTGCCTTAGACACTGGTAGCACCAATTTCTCCCTGAGCCGCCTGACTGGGTCATTTCCTCTGTGTGAGTAGGACACGGAGTATGTCTCCACTCGGGGTCTTCCACAGTCAACCAAAATGTGTCGTTCAGAATCATCTTTCAGGAGGGGACAGACGGGATCGTGGGCTACAGGAGAGAGGGCACAGCTTCTTCGAGGGATTTCCACAAACTTCTGGAGTTTCTCTTAGCATCCATGGGCCCTTTCTTTGTTCATAATAATCGTAATAAAGAAAGTCTTTACCGCCATCCCATCCCAGAAGTGTTCTACATCTCAGTGGAGCATGCTTTCATCCAAGATGGGACTGTTTCGTGCTTAATGCACAATACAGATGAAATACCACTCTCTCTCTCTTATTCATGCTCAGAGTTCCCATCTATAAAATGGGGTCATTGGACGCAGTCTTTTCTAAAGTTTTTCTAGATTTCTAATCCTGTAACAATTTGACTTCATGAGTTTCCGTCCTCACTTCAACATATTGACTCTGGGTAAGTCCCATTTCTCTGTACTGAGATCTCTGCATTCTGAAAACCAGGACTGTGCCTGCCCCACTCCCTTCCCTGGAAGAGACTCGACAGAAATAACTAGGGAGATGTCAAATTAAAATCCTTTCTGACTTCATTTGAGAGAAATGTGACTGTTGTCGCAAGCTAAGCAATGCCACTTGAAAGATGACTTACTCTGCAAGTTGGTGTATCCTTCTACCTTCTTATTGGCTTTTTTTTTTTATTGTATTTTTTGCTTTTTCTAGCTTCCTTACTTAGAGAAAGTTTTTTACAGTAAAAAAGATAGAGACCCCACTCATTCACAAAGTGTGTCTCACTTTCCCTTCTATAATGTAACATCATTTAACACTGGATTCTTGGTAGGATAATTAGAGGCTATTCACTGCCCGCTTTTCCTTTAGCCACTCATTTTCTTCTGATGCAGCAACCTGAGTGCTTGCTTTGCAAAGGAGCTCCCCTGCCCCTGCAAAGGGGCTTCTACCTATTGTACTGCTCACCTATCCATGGCCCCTTGTTTGAACATCGAATTTGTTTACCTACAAGGTTAAGAAAATGAGCAGCTCTATACTTGAAATATGATAGTCTCCCTTCCTCATCACTGGTTTCAAAAAAACATATTGTTGGTGAGGGTTAATCTTACATCATCAGAATAGACAGAGTCCCTCAGCGGTTCTGTGTCTTGCGGAGAAAGTTCAGAGCTGGAGATCTGCAGACTCGGATGTCCAGCTCTGGCTCAAGCCTGGATTAGCTGTGGTCCATCATGCCAGTCTCCAAGCTCCTTCACTTACAATGAGCATCTTTCTGGTTCAAAAGCTCTATGTTTTTCCTTGGCTCACGGCCAAGTTGCATTCAAGCCCAAGCTGAGCTAACTGTGTAATCCATTTAAATATGGACAGGTGGACGATGCTAGCAGTTGGATTCCTTTTGTACAAAGAACCAGCAATGACCTACTTAGAGTCAGCCCAACTGCTGGTGACTATTCATGAGGGCGCCTCCCTTAACAACCCACAGAAACCAGCCAGGTGACATCCCTGGCCATCTTTGCCAAGATGAAGCAGACTCTCTTCCTGAGGATAAACATGGCCCAACAGCATGGAGCTGGAGGCTCCAAAAGGACCAAGGTCCTGCTTCGGCCCATCTTATCTTCTTCTTCCCTTGGGGATGCCTGGCATGGTGTCTATATATATATATATATATATATGCATGTTGGTATATATACATATGCGTATGGTATATATATATATATGCATGTTGACAGTTGTTGGAGAGAAATGTTGAGCAGTGCAGAACAGCTTAGACAGAGCGGCCTTCCATCCTTCCCATACTTCATACACGCTTCATCAGCACCGCGCCATGGGAGGCTTCCTTCATACTCCCCAGAGGCAAGAAGACAGGAAGAAGCACATTTTTCCTGGTGCTCTGCCATTCCTGGAACGTATGACCTTGTCAAGAACAGAAAAATCACAACTTTAATGTACAAGCAGTGAGACCCCAAAGCCTCACAACAGCTGCATTACGGACTCACTCTTTCTGGAGCAATAAGCCCCTTTGGGTATCATCCCCTTGGCAAGTGGGAGTCTTTTAAGTCACTCTGGAAGCCAGGGGACAGGCTGGTGGTTTTCTGTTGCCTACAAATGCTGAGTTACAAACCTTGTCCTTCTGTTAGCTGGACCACTTCTTTTCCTCTTGGAAACGCCCCCTTTCTTTGTACAAGGCCCTGGGCTGCCGCAGAAGGTCTCAGCCACAGCAGCTTACTGGAGCGCTGATGTATTGGGCTGGGGGAGGGAGGATTGGTCTAGATATCCAAGCGCCTCTCTCTCTGCATCTCTCTCTGCTCTGTCTCTGTCACTCTCTATGTGTTCCTGTATAAATCTCTGTTTCTGTATTTTCTGGGTCTCTCTCGGGAACGCTTGGCCTCTCTCTGCTTCTCCCTGATGCCCTGTGAATGGGGTATCCTGTGGTGGGTGGCTCCATCTCCCTGTCTGATCTTCTCTCTATAGATCTATAGAGAAATGGGTAGGGAGGATTAGCAGACTTGTCTGCTCATGTCCACATATCTGGGTGGCTCTCTTACAATCCAGAGTCACCACGCCCCTCAGTGTCTCCATACTTCTGTTTCCCCCTTTCCTTTGTTTCGATGTCTCTGTCTCTCAGACATTACCTCAAAAGTGAATTAACTTCGACATTATCCCTGAAACCTCTCACAGACAGTGTTTATGATCATTCCTTGGTCTTTTCACACTAGGGAAAGAGAGGGGCCACAGTGGGATATGTGGAGATATTGTTGGTCTCACGCCCTGGGGATGGGGAATGCGAGAGGGGGACTGCAGCCACGTAGAACTGGCATCTCTGTTCCCTCCCCACTGAAATTCAGTCAGGCTAACATAACCATTCTCAGATACACCTCACTGTTAAACAGCAACAACAGAAATTTCAGTAGTGCAACCATTAGAAGAAGTGTGAACATAACTCTAACCATACCAGATGAGAATGGGTTGTGTAAGAATCTTTTCAATCAAGAAAGAAATCATTCTTAGTTACAACAACTCACACTGTGATGTTTTTAAAAGAAATGTCATCCGGATGGCATGTCTTTGAGAACACCCTTCCTTCGCACTCACCTCCCAAGTTAGGGGTATGGCCAGGTTGGTTAGCTTGGCGCTTTGGTGGGGTGACGGGAGAAATCAGTAGAAAGGTTCTGTCGACAACAAAAGCGTAATTGCACTTAATCATTAGTAGTCCACTTGCGATTATCACAAATATTCAAAGCACACAGAATGGTGACCCACAGCTACTGATTGTATCCTTTCTCTCCAACCCCTCCTTCTTTATATTAGCACTGCTGATAACATAGGAACAGGCCCCTGTGAGACATCCTCCACCCACCTGGCCTGGATCGCTCTCCTGGGGGCCTGGGGGTTGCTCGTGGGGGGAGGAAGGCAGGACGAGACAAGCGAGTGGCCTGGTGAGACAGACCAACACTAGAATGCCTCCTAGCCCTCAAACAGCGCTTCTCAGCTGGCCTACTGGAACCTTCCATGTTACAGTCCTCCTTTTATAATGTACCTGAGTCTAAAATAGCCTCGTGTTTTACGGAAATGTTGCTTAGGACAGATAATGCATTAACTCACAGGTAGAATGATCTCCACATGAGCATAGACCACGCCACAGTGGATGTAAAATGAACACAGACAAGCACATCCCTGTATCCTGGGTCTGGGGAGCGGGGACTGACACCCCACAAGCAGGTACTACGAGGAGAGGTTGCTGCACAGAGAGGTCTACTTAGATCTACTCAGGTCTACTCACCAGGAGAGAGGACAGATAATAAGCCTACTTCCTCTGAGGAGGACATAATACTGACTAGAAACAAGCCTAAAGCTTGTGGGCAGAAGAAGGATTGCAAAAAGTTGGGATAAATTTACCGGGTTCCCCAGACCCATGGTGCTTAGCCCTGGCAGCTCATCAGAATTACTGGGGAGTTTAAAAAAAATTAAAATTTAAAAAAAGTGGGGCCCCTGGGTGGCTCAGTCGGTTAAGCACCTGCCTTCAGCCCAGTTCATGATCTCAGGGTCCTGGGATCACGCCCCACATCGAGTTCCCTGCTCACAGGGAGCCTGCTTCTCCCTCTCCTCCATGCTCATGCTCATTCTCTCTCTCTCTCTCTCTCTCAAGTAAACAAAATATTTTTTAAAATTTTTTTCAAATTAAAAAAATTAAGTTTGATTTAAAAAATTTTTTTAAGTGACAAGCCCTAACCCCAAGAGTGCCTGGTTTAAATTTTCTTGGGTGTACACAGTATTTGTTTTTTAAAAAGCTTTCTACGTGTTTCTAAGGTGCTACCAGCATTGAAAGCCATGGACTCCAACAACCAACAAACTAAAAATAAAGTTCTGGGTATAATCCTGACTTAGCTTTTAGGTAAAAACACAAAGAGAAATGGGCCCAATGACTATTTCTGGATAGTACTGAAGGGCAGACTAGCCCTGTGTGGCTGGACCAGCGGGTACTGAAATCACATCAGAAAGGAGCGGAGCCAGACTGGAAGGGGTTGCAAGGGCCCGAACTCTCCTGAGGGGACCAGGCGACCAGTGAGGCTGGTTAGAGGCAAATAGGTACAATGCTCGGGACTTCAGGATGAGAGGGTCCCAGCCTCGAAGACATGAGAACCATCGGGGGGGGGGCTCCTAAAATTCCCAGACACACCGCAGACCAATCCCATGAGACTCCGCAGGGGTGGGACTCAGGCAACATGTTTTGAAGCTTCCCACTTGACTCCAGTCTTTGGCTAAGGTTGAGATCCACTGTTTTTAAATCATGATTGATGTTTAGTCTCAATAAATTGGAGCTTTTTAACATTTCAGCTGGAAAGGCAATGGAGAGGCCAACAATCCCCAGAGTTTGCAAACCAAGGACCAAGTTCGGGTAGGAGTAGCAGCAATAGAGATGGGAAAATAAAGGGAAAAGAAAGGAGGGGAGGACAAGGGAGGGTGACGGAAATCAAAAGAGAGAGACCAGCAAAGCAAGGGATATAGGGTGGGACAGGGCTGAGGGATATAGGGTGGGACAGGGCTGAAGGATATAGGGTGGGACAGTGCTGCTACTCAGGCCATGGGCTGTCCGCCCAACCATGGATATGGATCCTACCCAATGTCAGCCTGGAAAACTCTAGATTGCCTTTTCTCTTGTGATTGGGAAACATCCCCTGTGCCAACCTCGAAGTCCCTTTTGCTGCCATTCAAACACTTTCCGTATTTCCCTCCCTCAGAACAGCTGAGGGGTGGAACCTTGGCATAGCAATACACGGTTTCTGCACTGTGCAAGTGAAGGTCAAGGGCGTGTGTACTCCTAGACTGTAGAGCCTTCTCTACAACACCACTGAGCCGGCCCCAGCCTTCCTTTACAACTCCGGTAACCATGGCGGCCAGCCCCTCTTGAAAATCAAGCTACTAGGAGGTTCTTTGTTTGTGCAGCATCAGAATTTGTTTCCCTGGACTTCCTCACTTTGTTTGCAGTTCTGCCAACTAGAGTCGGAGGGAAAGAACAGGCGGTCCCAAGAAGATGAGATTTTCTTCTCTCATTTCTCTGCTTCCGCATGGGCTTGCTCTCCTGCTGCCTGGGTTGAAGTCTGCCCCCCAAAACAACCCCTTACCCCCACTCCCTGCCTGGCCACTCTCCTCTAAATGCACATAGTCTGCTTTCCTCTCTATGGATGCCACGACCCCCAAAGGAATCTGAACAGGTCAAAGAGGTGCTCACGGGGCACTTCGGAATCCACAGAATTAGGGGGACTGTTTTAGCAACATGCCACATGCAATAATGAGTATGCAGGCTTTACCTCAGATAGTCTGGAGCTCCATTTTGCAGAAGTTACTCGACTCTTTAAAGCTTCTCTTATCTGGATAGAGAACAAAAGGAGTTAAGAATTAAAAGATTATGAAAGTCAACACAGATGCACAGGCCAGGCCAACACTGTGGGGAGAAAGTGGGTTACCAGCCAGGCCCTGTCGCTGGGATGTGGAGGAGTCCGTAACTCGGAGGAACGCTTCAGGAAAAGGTGGGGAGAGGGAGAGACACAGGAAGGTGAGGCTAGCACAGGAGACACCTATTCAGAGGCCTGAAGCGTGAACCCCGTGCCTAAGAAATACAGTTTGCCACAAGTTTGAGGAATCTTTGATTTCGCTTTGGTAACAGATTTTTGGAGCACTTGATTAGACATTAGACATTTCCTGTGGCTTGTCTGTTATTTGAACTCCCCTTTCTAGGGGCACCGGGGTGGCTCAGGTGGTTAAGTGTCTGCCTTCGGCTCAGGTCATGATCCCAGGGTCTTGGGATGGAGACCTGCATTGGGCTCCCTGCTCAATGGGGAGCCTGCTTTTCTCTCTCCTTCTGCCCTTCAGCCGCTCAGCCCCACTGCCCCTCTGCCCCTCTGCCCCTCTGCCCCTGCTCATGCTCTCTCTTGTAAATAAATAAAATCTTTAAAAAAGAAAACAACCTTTTCTAGAGGCCAATCCATAGTTAAAAAACAGAATCCTATGCAACACAGCAAAAGTCCATGGAATAAAGAAAATAAGAATAACAAATAACAATTATATTTTGTATGTTAAATATATATTAAATAGATTTAACATAAATATACATATAAAATGTAAATATATTTAATACATATTAAATAATATATATGATTATATACAGTATATTAATGCTAATATAATATATAATAGAAATACATATAATATACTAATAAAACATATTTATGTATTGTTATAAATAATATATAATAACATGATATATAATAATATAAATTAACACAGTATAATGCTAATATGGCATATTTATATATTAAGTAATTTTTTTTAAAGATTTTATTTATCTGTTCGACAGACAGAGAGAACACAAGCAGGGGGAGTGGCAGGCAGAGGAAGAGGGAGAGGGAGAAGCGGGCTTCCTGTGGAGCAGCGAGCCCAATGCAAGGCTCTATCCCAGGACCCTGGGATCATGACCTGAGCCCAAGACTGATAACCAACTGAGCCACCCAGGAGCCCCTATATTAAGTAATTTATTAATGTATCAAATATACTTTGTTTCTTACATTATATTTAGTTTTATATTCATATATTTTTAAAAAACACTTTTCATGCCTGTCATCTCATTTTATTCAAGAAATAATCCTATAAAATAGATACTATTATGTCCATTTTACAACAGAGGACATTAAGATTAGTAGTCGAGGTGACACCCAAAGTCAGTTGACTACTGAGAAGAACTGAGACTTGGCTTTATGTCCCCAGACTCCAAACCAACTTGTCAATTTCCCTACATGTCTCCTGCTGAATGCAGGCACTGTCTTATTTCTATTTCCTCTTCCCTTCCACTTCATAAAATGTTATTCACATTCTGAGGACTTATAGTTAGTTCTGTCTTCACAGTTAATGGGTACCAAACCTCTCCAGCTCAAAGTGACTTCATGCTTCCCAGAAAATACAATATGCTTTGTCACACATGGCATCCAAAGGAGGAGAAGCACTCCCCAGGGCCTGGGACTGTGCACTCAAGGGTCCACAGGGATATGGGGAGACAACCTAGAGCTTCTATTTACATTTCCTTTTTTTTCATCTTTTTTAAAATTTGGGTTTCATAACATGCAAAATACATACTTTGTAAATTGATAATAAACACATCTGGGGACATATGCTCATTACTTTTTACTGATCCTAAAAAAAATTTGTGAAGATTCCTGGCATAAACAACTTTATGTCAACTAATCATGTACGGTCCTGTGACAACTTTTGAGTCTTGACCTTTTACGTTAGAATATTAAATGTAAGAGGTTTTGATCTTCATAGAAAGTTCTAGGTCTTAGAGTTCTTTGCACATCTCGTAACACCTGGTAAATTAATAAATAATAATGCTGCTGCTGTTTTGACAATAAACACTAGTTGTGGTGTTATGATTATTTAAAAAAAAAAATCACTTGGTATACAACTGTGTACTACCTTAAATGCTTTCTATGTATTTTCACTTAACAAAATCACATTTGTTCTTTACCAGGATCAAGCAGAATAGGCAGGAAAATCATCATAATCTCTGCATTCCTTTTGGGGGATCTGGGTTCCTGAGACTTAAGGAACTCTCCCAGCGGTGCAAAGTTTGTACCGGAAATAGAAAGACTGAAACACCAATCCTCTACCACTTCTAAATAATTTTTATTTGGTCGATATGGTATCCTCATAACAAAATGAAAGGACTAGTGTGAAATGCCTCATTCATAAATCTCAGCTATTAACTTAATAATGGAATTAACTAATTAATAATAATCAATTAAAAAATCAACCCTGCAGCGAAGGTGTTTGCTTCTACACTTGAGAGAGTTGATTACTTTGCTCACTCAGGAGGCAGCATAGTATAAAGGAAAGAGAGTGATCTTAGAAGGCTGAGTAAACATTTGGTATTCTATTCATTTGTTTAGCTTTCCTCTGTTTTCACCACTTACCACCTACACACACACATCTGTACTTGGAAAATTCCCTTCCCAGAGTCTACAGCTCTTTAAGGTGGAACTCACTGTCCTGACCTCCCTTGCAGCGGAGATCCAGCCACGTGACCTGGACTCAGCCAATCAGACATGACAGGACAAAGAAGCAGGTGCCAGTAGATCCCAACAGGCAGGGTGGAGGTGATCTACAGGACAACAGGAGCAGCAAGTCTAGCTCAGCATCTGCTGCCTGACATGGGCCTGGTGAGCTGTGCTATCTGTACCCAGGGAAGTGGGGAGGAGCACAGGTGTCTAGTTCTGTCTCTGGATTGGGAATCGTTCCTTGGGTGTAGCCTCGAGTCTCCAAGCCAGAGAGACCTTCCCGAAGTTGATCTTGTGAGATTTAATCAATCCTCTTTCTGTTTCAGCTTGTTAGAGTGGGTTTCTGTAGAGCTCATGGGCAGGTTTAATCACTCTGAGTTTCATGGTCCACATCCATAAAACTGAAAATAAGAATACCCAAGATTGTTTTAAGGACTAGAGCTAATGTATATGCAATGCTTAGCTCCGCAGGAGTTTGCCAGATGGTATATTTTACTTGTATCATAAAGAAGAGTGATGCCGTGTGCAAGTGTCCGCACAAATGATAGAGGTCGGAGACGCTCAGTAAGTGGTCTTTACAAGTGAGTATTTCAGAGCCAAGTATGGATCATGGGGGGAAACAAAAGGAAGAGGGATTTGTGATACCTTTGGGTCCAGGATTGTTCCAAACACCAAGATGAAGAAGCCCTGAGAAACACAGAAGAGGGAAGAAGAGCCATTTAGCCATTTTAAATACCAGTATTCATCAGTATCTATTCCGGTTAAAATAAATAAATAAATAAAATCAAAAACAATTTAATAAAATTTTGACTCTCTTATGGTTACAGCACCTAGATTCATCCATTCGATGAATACTGATTAAGCATCTTCCATGTGCCAGCCTCATGCCAGACACTGGGGAAACCTCAGTAAATCAAACAGACCAAGGTCCAGGATCCATACTAGACGATGGGACTTTCTTATTCAACTGGTTAAAATAAAAGTGTTTTGCATTTATCAGGAGCTCACCAGACTATAATAGCCTGAGCAAGTGTCAGAGAATATATTAGGTCATAGACAGCAGTCCTTGCAGTCCTTGGACAAACTATAATCAAAGAAACTTCCATAGAAAAAATATCAAAAGCAACTATGCTCAGCTTCTGTTAACACTCTCAACCTCCTTCCCCTATCCACAACCAAAGATTGTTATAAAACTCACAAAGGAAGTCAAGCACATGGACCCTCAGAAGACTAAGACCCAAAACAGATTGAGCTTCTAAGCACATAACGTGTACTCAGAAACAGATGCTCCAAATAGGATAACTTGGAGGGAATCACTTAGCTCGCAGATCCCTTACCATCCATACAAAGCCAGACCCCATGAAAGCCAAAAGGAAGCTGTTCCTCTATAGGTATAGTCCATTTGAGTTGTCCCAAAACACTCCCCTAAAGAAGGAAGGAAAATTATTTGTCCCATTTCCAGACAAGGAGAAAGAAACTCAGAGATTCAACTTTGAAAATGTGATAAATTGCAGCATTCATTAGACAGTTTCTCCTGAAGGTGTGGTTAAGCAGGTCCTGGCTCACCTGAGAAGAGAACTGAGCTCATGACCTTTGATTAACAAGGCATCACCCTCAATTTCATAATTGAACATGAAGCCTTATATTAGGCTTATAATAGGCAGACGTCTATTAAGACACATGGTTTTAATATAAATGGCACCATAAAGATGTTGCAACCCGGTGGTCCTCAACGGGAATGATACTAAACCCACTGCTACCTCTATTTGTAAAAAAGCTTACCTGAGAGGTGGAAGATTTCACAGGCATTGGTGCTGCCCATACAGCTCATCCATTCCCCTAAACATACCAAATATACCTATCCATTCAGTCAGTCCAGCAAGCACTTCAAAGCTTGGAGACCTTCTGTGAGATTGCGTTTCTGTGTGACACCCTTAGCCTACAAGATAACTGTTGAAATCTGTCACTGTATCTACCAAGAAAATGTCATGGATGTCATGGGCCATTAGGTTACAAAGTGTCATTTGTATAAAAATGCTTGGGACACGTACACCCAGGCCTGGTTTTGGTACAATGGATACATTTTAAATCGGAATCTCTATGAATTTTGCTTAGGATTTAAATTTTTTAAATATCTAGAAACCATGATTTTAGCCTGTTTCCTCTAAAACGTACATTCCTATGGCTAAAGGACAAAGAGGAATTTCTCTCCATGTAAGGTTTTCAATTCTCATGGCTAAACTAAGTATATTCACATCTGCAATGCTTAGCATAACGCCTGACACAAAATACTCAATAAATGTGGTGTCTCTGTATATTTATTTGTGTGTATGTCTATGTCTACATCTGTGTGTGTGTGTTTAACAGCTTTATTATGCAACCTGCATTTGTACAGTCATTTATCTTACTCATAAATACAGTGTAACTGGGAAATATTCCACTAAGATCACTTTTCATTGGTCCCACCTTGGGAAAAGTTACACAAAATATCATTCAGAAAATCTGGATAAATTATTAATCAAGGGTTTAGTATCTGATTGATAAAAATTCACTGGAGGCAGCCTCTTTGCATTTCTTTGGTAGATAAACCACAATTGGAGCAGATAAATCTCAAGGTGTTCTCCCAAATTTTAAAATACATGCTTTATGGAAGGAATGTTCCTACTCCCCGCCAAAATTTATCTGCTAAATCCTAATGCCCAATGTGAAGGTATTTAAAGGCATGCTTTTGGGAGGTAATTAGGTCATGAAGGTGGGGCACTCATGAAAGGGATTAGTGCCATTACAAAAGAGACCCCAGAAAACTCCCTTGCCTGTCCTGCTATGTGATGTTATAGCAAGATGGCTATCCGTCTATGAGGCAGGAAGCAGGCTCTCTCCAAACACTGCATTTGTGTGTGCTTTGACCTTGGACTTGCCAGCCTCCAAAACTGTGAAAAATAAATCTCTGTTATGTATAAGCCACATAATTTATGGTGTTTTTGTTACAGTAGCCCAAATGGAATAAGACATATACATTTCTCCTACTAAAACAACTATAAGGGGGTCTCCAAACCTTACCCAGCCCACAGTTACTCTCAGTAAACACAAGAGAGGATACCAACCAGGAGTTGCAGGTTATAAAGTGTGCAGTCAAGTCAACAACTAATATTTCTCCAGCAAAGGGGGCAGTTGAGCTTTAAAACCAGTGGAGGTGCTCCCACAGGGCTAGGACCAGGAAACCTCCAAGAGAGTCTTTCTCCTACATCTTCTGGACCCTACAGTGTGTTCAGGGGTATCTCTTCTCTGTCCGCTCCATCAGTACCACCTGCCCCTCATCCTAAAACTCTGCTAGTTCTGCTTCCTTCCTCTTGCTTGATTGTGTTCCCCCACGTCAGCTGATGGAGGGCTCCCCTTTCTCTCCTCCCACACTGGGCATCCCAAGGATGCCTTGGCCCACTGATTTGCTGGTAAATAGCCATAACCAGCTCTACTAATTTGTAGCATTTTCCTGTCTCTGTGGTTAAATACTCCCACACTGGCTGATTTAAATCCAGCAATGCAGTGTCACCAAATGTGGAGTTAGGAAGGGATGGGCACATCATTATACAGCGTGTCCACCGTACAGACATAATAGATGAAAATAACTTCACGAGCATAGGAAAATGTAGACAAATAATTAGGAATTAATGTATTTTGAGGATGTAGGACCTTACACAAAACCTTTGTTTTATTTAATCACAAGTTTGCATATTTAATTTTTAATGAGGTCAGCTTGCAAAACTCCTGAAAATAGAAGTCATTTCTCTGGAGACAGGACAAACCACCTTGCAGCACACCAGTGCCTAGAGCCTGCGCCAGTGTCTACCCTTCATCTACACCCCAGGCTCAGCTTCTCACATCCATCAGTACTGGCATTTAAATGAGCTCCACCCTCCTTGGCAGGAGTCAAGGCAGAAACTGAGTTGAAATTACAAATTGATCTTATCATGATAGGTAAAGGAGCTCATGGTACCAAAATGCAAATGCTCACAGCCTAGTCCAGACCAAAACTCACAGCAAGAGGACACCCGGGGAGACAAGGAAAGGGAAATGCAGAAGAGTAGATACATGAACTCTTTAAGGGCTCCTGACAAACAGCCATGGGATATGCTGATCAGAAATTTGAGAACGCTAGGTGGTTATACCAGCCCTGTCCGTGACTAGCTGCATAAACTTGGGTAAAAGCTATATAAAAAATTTTTTTTGTAGAAATGCATAAATACAGAGTCAAATTATGAGGCACCTCTATTATTATTAACCTTGTTTGCCAAGGCATCAAAATGCTTATTGTAAAATGAAATCATTATATTTAAATTTTGAAAGAGAAAATATTTGACTTCAAATCTCTATTATCCACCAGGTAAAACATTTATTTTCAAATAAGTCTACATTCTGAAAAAAGGATTATTTTAAAGGTCATTAGAAAAACAAATGCTTTCTTATCAGTTAATTCTTATCTATGTATTTAACATTCAATATGATAAACTTTGGCACATTGGTACATAGTGACAGGAAAAAAATGAAAAAAACAAATTTCAGTCAAGTAAGGGATTACTGAATATGGAATAACTACTATGCAGCCAATAAAGAGACATATTTATACATAGTTATCTACTAAGAGGCTACCATGTATTTTTAAGTGAAAAAATACGGTGCATAATAATATATATCTTAACCCCTATATTATGTCAAAATATATTGTATGTAAGCATAAAAATTTGGCAAGGAGACACATGAAACTGTGAACACTGTTTAATTCATAGAGGTGAGAGAAGAGAAGGGAAACTATCTTTAATACTGTTCTGTATGACTTGCCTCATTAAAATAAGAAGATTTCCAATGGGAACTAAAAATTCCAAATGGAAAGAAATATAATAAAGGTGCACATTTTATTATCTCCAGTTAGGTACCTAGATTTGGGGGAAGTGGTGGTGTTTAATTTCTAAACAGTAGCGGTTCAGCCTTACTGTTGTGCTATTTATAATCTTTTGGTCATTTTGGTACTTGGTGCTTTCCCAATGTTTTATTTCATTTTCCTAACACCCTATAAGGTGGGCAATATTATACCCATCTTATAAGTGAGAAAAATGTGGCTCAGAAAAGTTAAACAAATATCCCAAGAGAACATTACACATTGGTAAGTGAGAGAATCAAGATTTGAACCCAGGTCTTTGGGGAAGAAGTTTATTTCCTGACTCACTATGCTACTCCAAGTCCATTGTCTTTCACAAATACAATTGCAGAAGCTCCTGATGACAAATCTTCTTCCTGAATTCTCTCCCTTAGTACTGGGTCAGTAGAACCTAGACTTACCTGGAACGCATTGAGCAAGGAGAAGATGATGTGGAAGGCCAGGTTGCTATCATCGATGACAGTGGCTATCCCGAATCCCCACGTCAGGCCCAGCAGTGGTGTGAGGATAGCGATATTCTTACTGATTCTCACAATGGCTCTCACTTCCTGGAACATGGAACTGCCAATGGTGGCTCGCTGGGTCTTGACAATCACCAGTGTGACTGTGATCAGGTTTACGACCACGATGGCTAGGGCTGGGACCACAAAGGCCAGGAGGGCCTTGGTCATGTCCCAGTTGAGCCAGCAGGCCTCAGGCCGTAGGTAGCCTTTGCTGGGCTCGGTAGCAGCAACCGTGATAGCAGCAATGAGCAAAGGGCACCCGTAGCCGACTGAAAAGAGAGCAGCCACCAAAACCGATTTGGGCAGTGTATGGAAAACAATCATGATTCCATAGAGGATAAGGAGTGCCTTGGCCAGCATCCAGAAAAACACAGAAAGGTAAAAGAAATGAACAAAAAACGTTGCTGCCACACATCCGTTGTGGTGTGTCACGGGACCACTAAGAAAGGAAGCCACAACAAACCACACGTCAGCCATCAGCAAGGTGGCAGCGATGTTGGCGATGCACACATGGCGTAAGTATGAGATCTCTGTCTTTGTCACTTGGCCCCAGACCAAGACCTCAATGACCAAGCAAAGGACCAAGCTGCAGATCGAAATGCCCAGCCCTATGTACGTGATATGAGTCAGGATCGGGCTCTCCAAGATGTGGGGTGCCATGAGAATGGAGAAGGAGGTAAATAACCTGTTTGGCCTGCATTTGCAAACAGCTTGTTGGGAGTTTTCTTGAATTATTTGACAGGCCTGCTGGTCCCATCTGCTCTCCAGGGAGTGCCAGCCAACACACTGTGTTTTCCTCTCCTCCGACTTGCTGATCTTTTCAAAAATCAATGAGATTCTTTTAAGTTCCTTGGGCAAAATGACAGACAAGACGAGCCCATTGACAGTAACGTTCTCCAAAAGACTGGCTTCTAGGATGGCCCCAAGAGTCGGAAATGCAATGCTGATGGCCCGGGAAGGAGCAGGCACTTTCTGAAGTTCATCTCTACCAATCAGGACCCGCCCAGTGATCTCACTGCCTGTGTCGTTAATTCTCATTGAAAAAGTGAAATTCTTCCCAGCATTGTCTTGGGATATGGTGGTGCCCATAGTATGAATGAAGACATCTGATATGTCAATGGGATACTTATTTATAGATAGCTTTCTTGCAAAGGAATTGACCGAGTGTAGCAGGACACAGCTGCTGTTTCTTTCAGGGATGAAGGTCCAGTTTGATATGCTTTTGCTGTTGAGAATGTGGTTGGCCATAATACTGTAACTCTGCCAATGAAGAACCAGAATTAGTTACTGAGCCACTTCCCGAATCTGCCAGGACAGTCAGGATTCACTTTTATAAAGTGTGGTCCTCCAGCCAGTTGCATAGGCATCCCCTGGGAACTCTCAGGGCCCACCCCAGACCTACTGAATCAGAATCAGCCTCGTAATGAGATCCCCAGGGTACTGGCAGGCCAACAAAATTTGAGCTGGAGAATAGCGCAAGGAAGGAATTGCCCTCATTTCATGTATGAAGAGTCACCCGGGAGGCAGGCAAGGGGGCATCCTTCCCCAATCTCACTGACATCAGCACTTCCCCTTCACACCGTGGTGAAGCCAGCCACTTGCCCACCCTGCTCAGAATACCCAATCTTGCAACAAATATCTATTAAGTCCCAATTGTGTGCAGGACCCTGGACAGGAACATAGCAAATTGAAATCTGACACCAGAGGCTGAACCTCCTTTTTCTCCTCTGCCTCAAAGATTGAAAGTAAAAGAAATGAATCCAGGCCCACTTCACACTTCTGCAGCAGACACGTATGGCTGTATTCTTTGCATTCGCTTAATTTCTACTTTAGCATCCTGTTTTGACTCACAAGTAAAAGTAGAAAAGTCTTCCTCTGCAGGAACCAGAATAGTTCTTAGAGGTTTTCAGTAGCCAAAATATACGTTGGGCAAGCTTATCCCTGTGTCGGACCCAGCACCCAAAGAAGTTCTGTATCTAAACATGTACTGGTTGTGTTCACCTTTTCCGTTTTCCTTTGTTTATTCTGTGGTGAACATTTATTGAGCACTTGCTATGCCAGGCATTACAGACACTGATGGGAAAGACCCCAAAAAGCCCACAGAATACTCCAGCGAACTGCATTCCTTTCCACCAAAATGTCATTCTACCAAGTCAAGGCCACTCACCTGCATCTTCACTTCGTCGACACCTGTCGATAGCACCGTGGATATGTTGTGTAGGAGCTGCACAATGACAGCGATGTTTCCTGGGAGCCGGGGAGATTGCCGAATGTTCCTGAGTACACAGGACAAATCCTCCGGACACTTTTGCATCAGCATGTCTGTGATGGTCTCAGACTTTCTGGCATATTCTTTTATTACAGTATTCCCTCCGAATGGTCGAACTGAATATGAATTTGTCTAAGAAAGGTCAAAAAGAAAGTTTGTATTGGGTTACTTTTGCTTTGAATATGAAAGTATCTTTAATTAACTTTAGGACACCCTTATCACGCAATTGTACATTGCAAAATGTTTGTCAATTTTATATTTTCATAGTCACATTTGCTATGGAGTAACTTGCCCCATTACCAACGTATACAAACAGAAAAACCCAAGTTCCAGCTTGCCAGCTGCCTGTTGCTAAACCCTCCCCCTCCAGTGAACACATGTTATCTTTAGCATACCACTTCAGACCCCTTCTGCGCATATATACCGTATATGTGTCTTGTGCAACTGATAAATTTCTAGTGTCATTTAAGCCTATTTTTACTAAACATATTTTAAATATAGAAATTCTGGACTAGATTTGGATGAATCAGCTGACGCCAACACAAAAGAATGACTGAAAATAGTGATAAAGAGTATCTCCCGCACATTCAGGTTCTGGGTCCCAGCCTTCAGAACGAGGGAAGCGAACGTGGCCCCTGACTGGCAGCCTGTTTTTCGTAAATAAAGTTTTATTGGGAGCCAGTCTGCTTATTATTGAAGTATTGTCTAAGGCTGCTTTCCTGCCACGATGGCAGAGTTGAATTCTCACAATAGAGACCCTTTGACCCACAGGGATTAAATATTAATTATCTGGCCCCTTACAGAAAAAAAAAAAATGCCAACCCTTACTTTAGAGGACCCCTTTCTGGCATCTTCTCGCCTGCCCCTTCACAAGACAAAGAGACTGTGGGCCTAGAGGATATGCCTACTCAGAACTCATGTCCCTGCATCTAGACACTCAAATTCCCTGCTCAGCAACCCCAAGCCCACTTCCAGGGCCCGCATAGCCTCTTCTCTAAGTCTGTGCTACATGATGGACCACGCCACTAGTATGCTCATCACTAGGCCTGCGAGGTGGCAACAGGATACCGGTTTTCAGAGTTATGAGCATGTAACCTTGGCTTTCCACCACCCTTGAGGGTCAGGATAAAATCTTATGGGACACCAGGAGAACATATTTTACTTAGCAGTCTGGAAGCTTGACTTAAAGCATTTAGATATTAAAACATAGGGTACATGGGTTTCTGTGTTTATCATTGCCCAGATTCCTCAAATTAGGGGTGCATCCCGTGATGGACATCCTGAGGCAGGCAGCGTTTTGAAGGCTGGTTGGGGACTTCGAGTATAGCATCCACTGGTGTTCCCCCTGATCCCCCTTAAAATAACCAAATAAGGATGTTCCCTAGGACCAAAGAGATGTGAAGGTATTGACTCATCTGAAGGAATCAGGAGCTGAATGTCAGAAAGGTGAAGCCCCTATGAGAAGAAGAGCAAAGAAACAAAAAGAGAAGAAATAATATTTCACCTGATTTTATTTATCAAAATTTGGTCTTTAAAAGTGTGTCATTACGTAAGTATGTATGGAAATAGGTTCATCTGTTTGATGATGAAGGCCTTCCCTTGCGGCCAGCTTGTGTCTCATGCTTTACTGACCACAGAAATCACCTGGGGGCCTTGATAACCTACAGCTTCAGATTCAACAGGTCAGGAGTGAGGCCCGCAGATCTAAAAGTTCTCAGGGTAGGAGCGCCTGGATGGCTCAGTCCTTACGCATCTGCCTTCGGCTCAGGTTATGATCCCAGGGTCCTGGGATCAACTCCCTGTATCGGACTCCCTACTCTGCTTCTCCATCTCCCTGTGCCTCCCCCCTCTCCCTGCTTGTGTGTTCTCTCACTCTATCTCTGTCAAATAAATAAATAAAATCTTTAAAAAAATAAGTAAATAGAAGTTCTCAGGGCGGCCAATGCTGCTGGTCCGAGAAGGGTACCTTGAGGCCCGAGGCTTTGTAGTAAAGAGCTAAGAGCAAAGATGGAGAAATAAGCTGTGATCATTCTCCACAGTTCTTCTAGCTCTGACCTGAGGATCAGGTTCCTTTGTATCATGAAGCGTGTGGGAGCCCAGAGCACAAACTTTCAGATGCCCAAAGTTAGAACCTCCATTCTTGTGCAGAGAGAGAAAATGAGTAGGTGTTTATGTATTCATGTACAAATGTGCTCACCTACCAGCCCTGCGTATTGCTTCCCCTCTCTCTTATTGACTGCACTATACATTGTTAATTGGGTCTCCCCTCTTCGTGTGAGAGAAAGGATATTACCTCAAAGATGTTGAAGGCATTAAGAGTCCGGCAGGTTTCAGTGATCTTGTGCCATTTCTTTTGCCTGCATAAAAACCCCGTATTTCCCTGAGTGTCTGGAGGGCAAGGTTGGCTGCAGTGGGAATTGTCCACACAGACACCATCACATACACCTGGAGAAATAAAAAGTATTGACATCAGATGGAGATCTTGGGGCTCTGTACCGCGTGAGCCAATCACCAAGGCGTCAGCACAGTGAGGGCACATCAAGCCCCATGTACATCAGATGTATTTTCTTCTCAAACTGGAGGACGTTTGAAGTAGATCAGTGATCATCATCTATGTCAGTGATGAACACCTGTTGTCTCCAACAAAATCTTTTTTTTTTAAATCTAGGATTCCCCTCTTTTTTTTTGTTAAGGTTTTTTTTTTTTAATTTATTTATTTGACAGAGATCACAAGTAAGAAGAGAGGCACGCAGTGAGAGAAGAGGAAGCAGGCTCCCTGCTGAGCAGAGAGCTCAATGTGGGACTCTATCCTAGGACCCTGAGATCATGACCTGAGCCGAAGGCAGAGGCTTTAACCCACTGAGCCACCCAGGCGCCCTCCAACAAAATCTCATCCAGAACTCAGACGTACAAAACAGATAAAAGGGGAACTCCCCCTTTTGAAGTGACAAGGAAGAGCCCACGTTCAGTCCATGAGGTCTTTCACACCCCACAGTTCCCTCAAACTCCTCCAGCTCCCCAGAACACAGTATGGGAGCCACAGCACCCCGTGTTCTGTGAGAAGGCTCCCAGCTCCAGAACTTCATAATGAGTCAGGTCACCCAAGAGTTTTCCCAAACCTGCTCGGGTCACTGCTCCAGGCTGGACTGGGTCAGCGAAAGAGTTTATGGCAAAGAACTCTCTGGCCAGGATGGAGCAGAGGGTGCTGGGAGGAGAGGGGAGCAGGGGTCAAGGGTAAGATTTAATATGAGATAACTAAAGAGTCCAAATGCGAGCCATTAAGCAGTCCCATCTGTCATGCTACCAAGAGAGGGCTGAGCATGGTTCTCTGTTACAATAAACAAAAATTTCCATTTGATCACTAATCACTGCCAACGTACCATGTGGCCCGGCAGACATCTTCTCTTTGCTTTTGTTGGCAACCTAGAAAGGGAAAATCAAAATCCACATGAAAACTAATTGTTGTGATGCCAGCCCAATGATCCACTTTAGTCACAGACCAATGGCCACATCTGAATCATCTCTGATGCCAGGACGCCACCAAAAGCTGAGACCGTGAAGTACGTCCCCATGGCCCCATTTTGTTATCAGTGTGGATGGCTTTCTCTCTGGCGGAGACTCGGCAGGAGCCCTCCTTCCTCTCCAACAAGAAGAACCAGCATTCTATCCAAGAAATACACCATGAGCAGAGACGGACTTAAGTGGAAGTTAACAGAGCTGAAGCTTTGGAATCCCTTGCTTGTATGGGCCCCTTCAAAGCCCTGAGAGAGGGTCTAACAATGTGTTCACACGATCACATATTTTATTGAATTCCCAAAGGCAAAACAGCTTAACCGTCTTCTGTTCAGACCACTATTTTTGGCCACTCTATCTTTCCTTCCTTCACACTCTCCCCCATTTTGGATAGATAGTGTTAGAGAGGGTGTAGCTCTTTATGGAATCTGAACAAGTATAAGTTGAATTGGGGATCCATCTACTTTGAATTTAATAGGATATATTTATGAAATTTGCAGTCATTTCCATATTACAACAAGGACATCAACAAATAAGTGACATTCATTTTAGAGTATTTACAATTTTTAAAAAACAGTATTTACAATGAGTCACAGAGTGAGAAAATTCTAAGTGTTCTGGATACCTTGCAGCTCATATTTGAAAGAAACTTGTTAGATGCTTTCCCCACAGTTGACAACAGTCTTACATATTTAAATGGCATTTCTAATAATGAAAGGAGAAGCTGAAAGATATTTTTCTAAACTAGCCATAATAAAAGACAAATTTGATTAGCAATGCTAGAGGAAAAACTGAACAAGTTTTCTATCTTCTCTATAGAAAAAAAAATGATAAAATTATTGGCAATCAAATATGTAGCCAAAAATGTAGAGGAAAAGATGTGGGCATCTTTTATTATTAATAAAAATATTGTGATTTTACTGATTTTACTGAATAATGCTGAGTAATTGCTGAATGTAAAACTCTTTAGCATTTCTCAATTTGTTGTAAAATTTGAAATTTATTGTAATTGTTTTCCTCAATTTAAGTAGACATTCACTTTTCCCTTAATTTTATATTTGTAATTTTGTATTCCAGTTCCTCAAGGGATCTCCCTTCAAATCTGGCTTCCCCCTATCATGAGCACTTCCCACCTCTCCTGATTAAAAACCCCTCTCCATCCTACCCATTCATATCAGACTGGACCCTTCAATGAGAAGCAGTATCACATTGTGGTCAAGGGCTGTACTCTGGGAACAAACCACCTGGGTTCAAATCCCAATACTACCACTTGAGACCTTGGAAAAGTTGATCTCTCTGAGCTCAGTTCCCTCATCCTTAAAGTAGGGTAAGAATGATAGTATTATAATTGTGTGATACCGCAGAGCACTTTCATGAAGAATGAATGATTTCATCCTAAGGAAAACACTTAGAACGGGGCCTGGAATATTGTAAGTGGAATTTAAGATTTAGCTCCCATTATTACTCTCTGAATAAAGGCCTACTGAATATGTAACACATACAAAGCTCAAATTTGTTCCTTCCAAGAAATCTTTCCTGATCCAGTTCTAAATGATACATCCTTCTCTCTCTGGCTTCCGTAGGATTTATTATTTATGTCTCCATAACACACATTCAATGTTTCATATATATGCATATACTCACCTCCCTGCTATTTACTATCTAACCATTTTTATATGCACATATTATCTTCTTGGTTAAACTGTATGTTCCTTAAGAACATGGGTTGTGTATCATGTCTCTTATATCTCCCTACGTAGCTAGTTCTCTGTCTCACACATATGTGTACATGTGCATATTAACATGTATGTATATACCGCCATATGTACATATGTGTGTTTGTGTGTGTGCATAGAGAGACTGAAATCTCCTGGTTTTGTGCCAGAAGCTTGCTCTCCAGTAGCTGGGAAGAGCCATGGTCCAATTCTCCAACTTGCATTCCAAGAACTAAACCACTAGGGAAGGACCTAGAAACTCAGTGACTTAGCCATGTGAGTAACCTTTGGAGTTCATGTCCCTTTCTTCTTCACAATATTGTTTCTCTCTATGTTATCAAGAAACAAGCCCGAATCTTCCATTGTCTCTACCAATAAGAATTTATGGAGGATCTGAATTGAGCATTTTAGGGTCTCTCCAAGGTGAAGAAGGTATCACCAAGGATTCACGAAATACAATGTCCTTCAGAGCACTGATGTAAAATGACTTCTCGTTTCAGTCTAGAGATCCAAGCCTTATTATATACCTGGAAGACTTAAAGGATTTTGACCCAGCAAGAATACTAAAATGGCAGTTTTTTGCATTTTGAAAGACATTCTTAGTACATAGGTAAGGAAGGTGAGTCTTCAATAGATAAGACAACTTTCCTGAGGTCACACAGGGGGTTCCTCTTAGAGCTAAGTCTAGAACTCAACTCTTCTCAATCCTATGACACTGTCTTTTCCACCAAGTCAGTCCAGGTGCAAGTGGAGACAGCAGAGAAGGTTGTAGGTTGTGGGGAAGTGATGTCCTCAGCCCATCTTGAGAGGTCCATAGCCTCTAATACACCACAATAAAGCATTTCAAAGTGAATAATTCTGGATAACTGGTGGCCCATTAAACAGAATCCTATGAAGTCACATTTTATTAATCAGATATGTGGGCAGAGGACCACGGTGTTCTATTTACAAGGAATTCTGGAAACTCTGCCTTCTTAAGTGAAGGATCTGATTCACTTCTTCCCAATTAACTTGCTAAAACACATCCACATCCAACTCCTCCTGGTCATTTCACTTCTAGGGTGGCCTCTGATATGAGCCCCTTCAACTTTAGACATCTGCAATCTTCAACAGAATACTATGAAAAGAACCCTTTAGAAACCTGTAATCTGCCAAGCCTGAGAAGATGCTGAGTGAGAAGGGAGGTCAGGAGACAGGTAGCACCCAGAAGCTCAGCATCCAGTAACTGGTGGGTTGAAAAGAAAAGGACAGAATGTTCATAAGGTGGTCCTCAATAACCAAGAAAACAAAATAAACATCCCAGGCTCTGTCTACTCTCTAAGTTCTGTCTTATGGGAAAATAGGGATGAGCAAAGGAAGGGGAAAGGAGAACGAAGCTGTGGGGTCAGGATACTTTCCAGGAGAAGTCTTTATGAAGGAGTCTTAACTGTCCCAGAAGCAAGGTACCAACTCAGTGCTGGGGAGGAGGGGAGTCGTGGAGAAAACTCCTTAAATGATTATAATTTGGAAACTCCTACAAAGAATTTCCAAAATCTTTCTTTCCTAAGGAGACTTTTGCTAAGAAGGGACATAATACAATGGAAAGTGCAAGAAACAATCTGAAGAAACAAGGGTCCTACCTAAGTCCTCTGGCTGGATAGGTATGAAATCTCAAGAAAATTACATTCCATCATATGGGTCTCAGTTTCCTCTCTCATGTAAGAGATGGAGCTTTACCAGTTGATCTCAAATCTCCCTTCCAGATCTTGTAGTCCAATAGTAATACACTGTTCCCAAGAATATCAAAGTAGTTTTATGTCTCTCTATCCATCTATCTATCTCAATGATCCTCCACACCTTATTTTAACTAAGTAACCATTAAGGACATTAAAATGACTTATGGTATGAGGGAAAATATTCTAGAGAGCATCATAGGGCTCACTGCCCCACAAAACTTACAACCAGGACATTGTTACAGACTTCATCCCAGTTAAACCTTCCTTAAGCCTTGACTATCTGAGGGGCTCATTGCTCCCCCCAGCCCATCCATTGGGTTCATTATCAGGATTCTCAAAGAGATCTCATTTTGGGTGGGACAAGCTTCATTGAGTCAGACCATTCCTAGGTCCTGCCTACTAACTGCCGTTAAATATCTCCCAGTCACATGACACCGCTTACCACCCCCACATTTTCAGGTGCTTCCACAGAAGTAGCACCCCCCTGGTTATGAACAATGAAAATCTTCACCGTCAATGGATACAAAAAAAAAAAAAAAAAAAAAAAAAAAACTTTATCAACCTCAAATCATTTGAGCCTCATCTCAAGAACTCATAAAAAAAAAAAAAAATCAAAGGGAAAATAGTTTGAGGCTATTAACTCAAATGGGTTTTGGATACCTATCATTGCAACTTCTTCTGGCTAGACCACTGCCTTCCCCCTCCACTTGAGCACAGGTAACTAGGGCCCCCTAACTGATAGCTATGCATTTCCATTTGCTTTCCCGCTCATTCCTCCTCCAACTTCCCTTTTCTTACCTGGCATAATGTCCTGCAGGACTCTGTGGGCAAAAGAAACATGAAGCAGTACAGCAAAAGCATGTGAGTCATCGTCTTCCACACTGCTGTCTCTCTTGCTTCTAGAAAAATCAATGAAAAAGCAAAGTGTCTCCAATCAGAAGCTTGCGAAGCTTCTCCCTGAAGATTCAGTCAACCTGTAAGCCCAAGTTCTGTCCTTCTTGCCGTCGTCTCAAATGTCTATGCCCCAGAGGTGGCATCCCTGCAGCCTCCCGTTGGTCCAGAGAGGCCGCAGGTGTGAGCGGCAGCTGGTACTGGGAAGGGCAGGCCATGGGATACCTCCTGTGGGAATCCCTCCAAAGGAAGCTTCCTGCTGGGTTGCAATGAATAATAGCCCATTTTCAGGGAACCAGAATGATGGTTCACTCCCTGGGTTAGGCAGGCCTGAGAAACGTGTGGGTGGCCGCAGTAGAAGGTGAGCTAGGGTTCCTGTGTGCAGACGCGAGCCAGAAATACCTTTGGAAGGAGAGTAAGCTCCAGGCTTTGCCTATGAGCCTCACTTCCACCTAACTCTGCAGCTGTATTTTCATAGGTAGGTACAAAGTTCAAAACCGATTCTAGCCAAGTCCTGCCATTGTTATTTAAGCCCAAATTGATGTCAAAACTAAAATGGTTCCTTGGCACCCAGAACAGTGCTGGACACATGGTGGACTTATGATACACTCATTAGAGAGAGAGGAAAGTGGATGGGGGTAGGGTAGGTGGTCAGGAAGAGCTGACGATTCATATCAGATCCATGCTCTGTAGATGACTCAACATAAATTGAATATTTTTAGAATTATATTTTAATAATTTTAATATTTTTCATTTTGAGTGAAATCCTCTTTGAAAGGTATTTGATGTTTCTTTGCTTTTAGATGGAAGGTTTCAGAGGACTTGGTGTCCTCAACAAAGGCCAGGAACTTTTGCAATGGTCAATATTGGCTATTTAACCATTTTTAGCCAGAAAGGAATGGCCTTTCTCTCAATCATGCATAATTCTACAGCAAACAATACCATTATTTTGAAGACTAGGCAAAATGTCTTTTTAACCATATTTCCTGCAGTGAAATATTTATCTTACTAAATCCAATGACTCAAATATTTTACAATGCTAGTTTCAGCCTGTTGTTTTAACAGGGTTTTCTGAAGGTCCGAAGTTCTTTAAGCACAAGGATTACTTTGTTGCTCATCACTTCCAAATGTATTTAGTAGCAACCCAGATGAACCCACAATTTCAAGTAGATTTCAGTCCCCTTGGCTTCCTTTTTCCAAATTTATGCCTTTCAAATGGATATAAATCCATTGTGAAAATCATTAAAGTGACTTAACACAATCATCACCAATGCAGTTATTGCTTTGGGTAAAATCATCAAAATCAGAAAGAAATTAAAGCAATTGATGAATTTGTGAACATAATTTGCATAAAATCTGAGCATGAGTCCAAATGTTTTTCGGAATTACATTAATTTTACATTAAAATTCTCATGATCCAGAATGTTTTCTCTTTAACTAGAACTACTTTAAAAAAGAAGATTTAAAGAATAGCAGAAGACAACAATTTTTGAAGGGTTAGCACTGCTCCATTCAGACACTCAAATAGATTTTTTAAAAAGGTGCTGGAAGAAGTTGAATGATTAGATCAGGTGGATGGATCAGTATGAAATCTATTGTTTGCTTAATATTTTTAAGGTGTTGTTTTGAAAAAAAAATCTTTATTGTCTTGTTTTAAATTTTAAACATAGTTTTGTTTTAATTTTATCGAAATGCATTTTGATTATCACTAAAATTGTTTTTATGTATGGCAAAGTGAGCACTTTGTGTTTTATATGGTAACGACCTTCACAGACTTTACAGTAGGGACTTTTTGGATAGTTATGCCACTGTTAAAATTTTGGAGCCCAGATCTTCTAGCAACTTCTTTGTTATCTGGGACTAGCTTGTCACAGAAGGACTGAGGACCACAACTCTGGAACACTGTCTTTGTGCAAGTTTCAACAACAGTGGGACTCTAGGTGCATTTTGAACTCTTTCTTAATTCTTTTAACTGGAAGAAACATTTTCTAAAATTGGCTTTTTTGGTGTCTTGCTTATAAAACTGCTCTTTAAGTAAAGTGGACTTAAATAAAATCAGTTTTCTTCCAGACTTGTTGACATTAAGCCATAGTCATTAGCTCTTTTTTCTAGTCCCATGAAAGCACAAAGTCTGGAAGAAGTCAAAAGTATAGTGGCAAGATAGCAGCAGGAATCCAATCTTTTGATCCCCCAACCCCAACCCCCATACCACCCACCTCCTTCCCATTTTTCTTTTGAAAAGCCTCAGGTCTCTAATGGTTGAGACTGCCTTTGCCCGACTCACCCCACAACTTTCTACAATGCAAGGGTAGCGGGAATGTAACTCTTCTCTCTTAAACAAATGTTCGAAAATGTTGGTTTTGAGAATCCCAAGCCAAAAAAACTCATTACAGACACTCATTTCAGAAAAGGCTTATCTCTCAAGAACATACAACCTGAAAAAACAGTTACCTCATGCAATTCATACCAAAAAAAAAAACAAAAAAACAAAACAAAACAAAAAAAACCCAATTACATCAGCACTGACATTTCACAAAATAAAATGTGCCAAATACAAAATGTTACAACTTTTTTCAGTGAAGAAGCCATGTCCCTTCTCCTTCATAAAGAAGAAGGAGGAGGAGAACAGTAGAGTTTACAGGATCCTTTTCCCAAACATCCAAGCTAGAATATGTTTTCCCATTCTCTGCTGTCTGCTTTCCGAATCTGAAAAAGGTGTTCATGTATATGTTTATTCAACAAACAGAAAATGAGCTCCTCATTTCCAAGCGATGTCCTAACAGCTCAAAATTAAACAACCACAAGGATAACTTCTTTCCCGGCCTGCTCACCAGCTCAGGGAAGCCACAGGCTAATGAGGCTTCTGAACCAGCTCCAAGGGTATGGGAACTTGGACGGGCTTTGCTCCCCGGAGACCTGCAGACTCTACAAGTCAAAGCTAGTCAAAACAGCATGACAGCAAGAATTCCAAAGTTCCAGATTTCACCAAACGATTCTCGTCTTCGTTAACAATTTAATTTTGACATATCTATTCCTCTCTCTCTTGTCAGATTCCTCCACCCCAAAGCCACGTGGTTGACTGGCAACAGGCGCAGCTCACTAAGGGAAGACAAAGCCAGTAGGAAGCAAGCACGTGAGCTCCATGCTGGGGCGTGTTCTGTGCCTGGCCCCATCAGAAACAAACATCTGCTTAATTTAAACACACACTCACACACGTAAGCAAGAGAGACCAGAGCAATTTTGTAGGGTGATTTGGGAGAAAAACTCTACAACTGGAACCCTTAAATCTTGATTAGGGAAACACAAAAGTATTAGAACACGATTCATGGCAATCACAAACAAAAATAAACAAAACTCCAGACAGAACTTTACGAGCCACTCAGGAGTATTTCAATCCCCAGCTCTGTCAGCTGACAGTCTGCGCCTACTACTCACATAATTGGGTTTTGTAGCGAATTACTGAGGCCCCCTGTGAGGTCTGCAAAATAGTATCAGAGTTCCCAAACATATTGTGGGAATACACTTTGGATGATCTCAGGGGTGGATGGTCCCTTTGTGTCTGTCATTTACCCATCCCTCTGTTTTGCTTCTAGTCAATCACCAACCCCATCCCTCCCGCCTAAATGCAGACATAGTAGAAGGGAGGAAGAGAATAAAACAAATAGTTACTGTCTGTTTACTCTGTGTCTGGCACTATCCGCATTAACTCTTTTAATGCCATCAAGTAGTTCTGTGAGACTGAAGTGACTTCCAGGATGTAAGGGGCTAAAAGTTGACCCTGCCGAACCTCTAGGTATGCTAAGAGGCATATTTAGGATTTGAGCCCAGGTCTATGATTTTTTTTTTGGGGGGGGGGTCTTATTGCTTTTCTGATAGGAGAAAGAGCTGATCTTTGTATGGGGTTAATTCTTTCAGAACAGTTCATGTAACTTTATCTTGACATCATAAAATTTTATGAGCTAGGCAGATTCTTTTAAACACATCATTCTGTCCTATCCTCCTTCTTGGCCTGAAGATGTAAAAAGGCTTAAAGGCTGATCACCATCTCTGGGGGTGTGTGTGGTGGGGGGGAGAATAAGTAGATAGATAGATAGATAAGAGAGATCTAAGTTTAAATAACCTTAAAGAAATTTACAAACGTAGTAGAATTTCCTTCAGAATTCCTCTGTCCTTTCCCCTAGGTCATGTCCCCTGCTGCACCCAGATGATCAGGTCTCACTTTTAGCTCCAGAATCCTCACTATGAAGCAAACTTTCCCACTTCAAGGGCCTCCTTTCCTAGGTCTTAGTCCTTCAGAATTCATTTGACAAGACAGAACAGTTAACTAATAGGATAACCTGCCCCATAAAAAATAAATAAATAAATAAATAAAAATTTAAAAAAGGGCACCTGGGTGGCTCAGTGGGTTAAGCCTCTGCCTTTGGCTCAGGTCATGATCTCAGGGTCCTGGGATCGAGTCCCGCATCAGGCTCGCTGCTCAGCAGGGAGCCTGTTTCCTCCTCTCTCTGTCTCTCTCTCTGCCTGCCTCTCTGCCTACTTGTGATCTCTCTCTGTCAAATAAAAATAAAAAATAAAAAAGATAAGCTGCCTCGCAGTGACGTGAAAATGGATACAAATGGTTTTATGATTTAGTCATCCCAGGTAACTGTACATTTAAAAAGGGATTTTCTAGAAGTAACTTCTCCCACTGTAGGAAATAAAGGCACTGACCCAGGTCAATGGACCAGATTCTCGGAAACAAGGATGCTCTCCTTGTCCCCAGTCACACTCACAGAGCTACCTACCTACAAGGGTAGATGAGCCCTCAGTTTTCTCCAAAAGCCCAGTTTTTTAAACTTTAAATCACTTTCATTGGTTTCCCTGAACCTTGGCCGAGTTCTCGAAACCTCTTTTGGAACTGGCTGCTTTCCTCCTAATGCTTGCCAGTTTCAAGCCATGCTAAGTGATGGGTGATTACTCACACCTGAAAGGTAAATAGTAAACAGGGATGGACGTGTGCAGAGGGCAT